GTAAATAAACCAAGTATTACAAAGATCTGTTATCTTTGAAATAGTTTATTTTACTGCATTAATCATGAGTACAACATACAGATATACACCTGTGATGGACTTGCAACTTGTCCAGGGTGTACCCCGCCCCTCACACTGTGACTGCTGGATATGGGCACCAGTGACCCATGCAACCCTGAAAAGGAAGAAGCATGTACAGAAAATGGATGGATGGATGGATGGATGGATGGATGGATGGATGGATGGATGGATGGATGGTTGGATACAACATACAGAACCCTATAAAAGTGGTGATAATTAAACATCAAAAATCAAAAATAATACATTATGCCTCCTATTGAACACAAATAATATTTTGACATGTCTGACTAAACCTATTTTATTTTCACTTTCATAGTTTTATCTTCAATTGTTTGTAGTTTAAATTGTCTTGGGTGTTCATAGAAAGATTTTTACCACCTTCAAGACAAGATTCTGACATTTCTGTAGATACCAAACATGTCTATGTTGTACTAAAATAACTTAGAGAAATTAAAATAGAAAAACCGAGGGTTTGGGCTTAAGAGATGAATGAACCAATTGGCGGGCCGAGCTTTGGTCACTCGTGGCCCGGACGTGGCCCGCGGGCCGCCAGTTGAATAGCCCGGGTTTAGGGTGATGTTCTTGTGCAATATGTAGCACACAAAGTATAGTTTACTGACGACTCTCAGTTGATCAAATTTCAGTTCCATATCAGCCAAACGTTCACTGGTTCATTAGAAACCTTGCCAACACTAATGACAAACAGGCAAAAGCATTATCATATGCCAATAAAAGGTGGGCGATAAGAAAAACTGAACAAAACTAAACTAAAACTTTACTGTATTGATGAYTAATTGGCATGTCTTTTGAATAAACAAATAAAATACACTTCAGACCAGGGGTCTTCAACATTTTCCAGTCCGGGATCCTCAAACTGATGGAGAGATGCATCAAATGCCAGGATGTAGGTGAAGCAGATTTCAGTTGGTGTGTTCACTAAAATGTGTGCATTTCAGTCTGAARTATGTTATTTTACATCTATATTTATCAATTGCATGTTGRATTCATGTTAATGTGTGTTTAATGATGAGTTTGAAATGTCAAAGAAAGTATTAGGAAAAGTGTAATTAACCA